AGGTAGATTTATCAAAGAGAAGACACATTGTGAATTGCACAACAGGAAGGGCAACAGCAAGACTGCCTGTTGTCATCAAATAGGTGGTGGCCTAATGTTCCTCCCAGTGGAGTGTGGCCTTCTTTTCAGTTAGGGTGAGGTTTAGGATTCCGGTCATGCATTTGGGTGCCTGCCATGCAAATGAAGCAGTACTGATGGTTGATATTTGACATTGATTGTAAGCTACTCATGGGCCAGCTTGGGGTTTGTAAAGCGACTGGTCGATTGTGGGGTTTTGTTTCTTTCACAGCACCACAGTTGACTACTCTTTGTCATGGAACCAGCACCAAATATTTTACAGTTGGCTATTCAGCTTTTAGAATTCTTGTAGTTATCTCATTATGATTTCATTCCTCAATATACCTGGGGTGCCAGAAAAAGTATACACATTTTGAGAGATGGTATCTATGTATTACCTTTAGTTTGCTGTAATCAGAAGTGTCTGGACGCTGATGGTAACCACTTTCAGCATGTCTTATAATCGCGGAAGTCAAATGCGACTTGTATTCATTTACAATTTTAATAGTTTTTTCCTTTCTTAAAATGTTCATACATTTTTTTGGCACCCTCTGTAGTTTACCCAATTTACCCAATTGATGCTGGCCAAATCAGGCCTCATATTCCTCCGCAATAAATACACGTAAGAAAAAATTATGTAAGGCTAAACCAATTCCTGCTGTAGGTAGTTGTGGTGGTGATGGTTGATAAAAATTATCAGACTGAAAATATCTTTGTGACTCCGTGTATCTCCATTTTGGTGAGACCTTCAACAAAATCAAAGAATCTCAAAGATGATAGAAACTTTATCATAATCTTTCTAAATTTTGAACTTCTAGATCCCCACTCCCCAATTACTAGTAAACCTCTGGATAACAATTGCTTGAACAGGTAATGGGTAATTCATTCCACTTTGGAAAGATTTGAAGTATATTGCTGAGAATGTTTTCCCTTAATGTAAACAATTGATTCTACCTCTTCCCTGCAGATTTCCTCTCACATATGCTTTTCTTTTCAATTTTTGGAACGTTTTATGCTATGCATATGGAAAATAGGGACATGTGTTTGAATATTTATTTTTGATTAACTGTACTAAAGAAATTTAGTTACTATCTCATTGTCAAACTCAAGTGAAGTCTTTAGAAGTCAAAGGACTCCCTGGTTTTGTCCTACTCATTTTTGAAGAAATCTATATTTTGATCAAGTGATTGTCAAGCATAGAGGTGAAACGAGGCTAAAGAAGAGAGATATACTGAGTTATTAAACCTGAGTAAAAGTATTAACACAATGTGTTACTTTATTGAAACTAATATATTTTAGTAGCAATATGTGCAGTGAAAGGAGGGACCCCAAGAACTTTAGAACAGATTTAGCTTTAGCACAACCATTTTACCACTTTGCTAAAGTTTTACCACTGACACCCTTTGCTAAGCAGCTGGCACTGCCTCCATGTCCCTTTTACCTTATAATCATTAATAAGAAAAATCACAGCCGGGTTTCGTGGCTCAGCCTGTAATCCCGCGCCTTTGGGAGGCTGAGGTGAGTGAATTGCCTGAGCCCGCGGGTTCGAGACCCACCTGGGCAGCGAGACCTCATCTCTACAATAAATCAAAAAATTAGCCAGGCGTGGTAGCGTGCGCCTGTAATTCCGGTTACTCAGAAGGCTGAGGCGGAAAGATCGCTGAAGCCCAGCAGGTCGAGGCTGCGGTGGCCAAGAGTGGCCATTGCACTCCAGTCTGGGCAACAGAATGAGACTCCAACTCAAAAAAACAACAAAAAAAGAAAAATCACCTTTCCCGAAACTGGTTCCCCGGGTCAGGCCTTAGAAATCAGCGATCATTCAAGCCCCCTTCAGCATGTCCAATCCACCCAACAATCTTTCTTTCAGGCATTTGTATCAATACATTGTTAACAGTTGTCCACAACAACCTCCAGTCCACCACCGGAAGGCATCTGGATTAATATATTATCACCAGACCATGACCAATCTCCAGCCCACGACTGGAGGTCGTGAGTTGCTGGTGCCTGGCGATGACAAGATCCAAGACTTATGTGACTACTTTCTTTTCTTTTTTTGAATTGGAGTCTCACTCTGTCACCCAGGCTGGAGTGCAGTGGCACGCTGACAGCCATCACAGCCTCGACCTGTTGGGCTCAGGAGATCCTTCCACTTCGGCCTTCCAAGTAGCTGGAAATACAGGCACATGCCACCATGCCCCGCAACTTTTTGATCTATTGTAGAGATGACGTCTTGCCAAGTTTCCAGGCTGGTCTCGAACTCATGAGCTCAGGCAATCCTCTCACCTCAACCTCCCAAAATGCTGGGATTATAGGCGTGAGCAACCGTGCCCCACTGTGACTACTTTTTTTTTTTTTTTTTGAGTTGGAGTCTCACTCTGTCACCCAGACTGGAGTGCAGTGGCCGCTCCTGGCCACTGCAGCCTCAATCTACTGGGCTCCGGCGATCCTTCCGCCTCAGCTTTCTAAGTAGCTGGAACTACAGGCGCATGCTACCACGCCCGGCTAATTTTTGTTTTATTGTAGAGATGAGGTCTTGCCAAGTTGCCCAGGCGGGTCTTGAACCCGTGGGCTCAGGCAATCCACTTGTCTTAGCCTCCCAAAGGCGCGGGATAACACCCCTGTGGGTGAGCCACCCACCCCGGCTGTGACTACTTTCAACATCAAAGAACAACGCAGCCCTGGACATTCCTTTTGGCCCAAACCCCTATGGGCCCAAGACCTCCCTTGTCCCAAGGGCCTTAAATATGCCCAGTCCTCAGCCCTTTGGAGCCACACTCACCTGAGTGCCAGCCCCCTTTTCATCTGCAAAAGGTGAATAATAAGCTTGACTTCTTTCTACTTCCTTCTTTGTTGCAATCTTGCATTATTCCCACGGTACCAGCCCACCTTGCCTCGGTTTACTCTTTCATGCCGTTTTATAATAAAATTTCCAAAATACAAAATGACTCTGCAGCAAGTCAAGTAAAAAATACTTAGGGATTTTAATTGAACACAAATCATTATGACTGAGATAAGACTGTAAATGTATTTGAGTACCCTCTAGAGCAAATGTGGTCATAATTCCACTGGATTCATGCTGGCCAGACCACACAGGGAATATATTTCTTGTTCTAGAGGTCATTTGGAGAATCATGCTGACAAACTAAAAATTTTCCTGACAAAGCGACTAGGGTTGCTAAGGGTTGGAAACTACTAGGGAATACATTGGCAGAAACCAAGGAAGCCTAGTCCCAAACAAAAAAGCGTTGGGGTGGGAGCTGGGGAAGCATGGTTCTTTTAAAGAGACAACAGTATTAGGACCACTTACTGGGGTTTGGGGAGGGAGGAGGAGTCCACAGAATTGAACTGAAATATAAAGAACTACCTTAAGCAAAAACCCTCCTCACTGAACAAGGTCAACGCCTATTCATCAGGAATGTTCTTGGGGGAATCGGAAATTTGAAAAGAGGCCGAATGAAGTCAACTTTAAGTTCCTGTCCAAGTTTTACACGGTATGCTTCAAAGGCTGGTCCTCAAAACAGCACAGAGTTTACGGCCTGGTGGCTCCCTGCCCAGGAAGAGGATCCTACTGGGGACATTCCGTTGCTCTGTGAGATGTCAGGAGGGCGCACTTCCTGAGTGTGGTCTACTCACAGTCAGCTGTTGCTCTGCCAATGCCCTTTTGCAATATCCATGTCAAGCTTCCCCTTTTGGAAAGAGAGCAGGATAGGGTAAGACCGGGACTGGAGAAGAGGCTCTTGTATTAACCTTTCTTTTGCTTCGGTTCCAGGCATTCCTCATCTGTTATGTCATTTTGAGTTTATAACTGAGTGGAAAGGTTCAGGTTTCTCTTCCAGAGATGGGGCGGGGCACTCAAACAGCTGCTAGGACTAGGGAGTAGCTAAGAGTTGGAAGAAGCCAAACACTATCTGCTTAAAAAAAGAAAAAGTGGTTAGAGCAAGAAGGACCGCGAAGAACCTGGGGAAGGGAAGAGGAGTCCTCTTTTGCCCCTCACCCCCGCTTTTGTGCTGATATTTTGATCACCTGGCTGGGTGACGAGGTGAACATGGGAACAGGTGCGCCTCACCCCTACCCCCCTTGCCCTCAGCAGGGATTATCTTGCTGCGTTCGCTGTGCCCGGAACCAGTTACTCAAGGGTAGACAAAGGACAGACAGGGAGAACTGGAGGGGATGGGGTCTGGCGGGGGTGGGGGGCGAAGTCGGGAGCCGCGTTACCAAGCACATTGCAGATGACATCATTGCCTGAAAGAGATCTGACCCTCCCCTTCCCGGAGCTGGAGGCAAGCGTGTCTGCGCGGGAGGAGCGGGCTTGCCTGGAGGGTGCGAGCGGTGGGAGGTGGCGCGCCCGGGGCGGGGCGGAGGCGTGAGGGGGAGACCTGGAGCGAACCGGCCGCCGAGCGAGCCGAGAAGTCTCAGGGGCTGGAGGTGTTTGCGCCGCTCAGGGCTCCGCCCCCGCTCGGCGCCGCGCTCGGGCCTGGGAGGGGCACGCCGGCTGGCGGGTGGGGAGTGTGTGCACCGGGGGGAGGGTCCGTGGTGGCGGAGGGGCGGAGAGTCGCCTGCGCATGTCAAGGCTGTTGGAGCACACACGGCCGGGGACCTGGCGAGGGGCGGCGGATCGCCGGCCACGCAGGGTCGGGACCCCGCACGGTCGGAAGCGAGCTCCGGCTAGGGGCTCAGCCTCTCTGCCCACCCCCCACCCACCTCCGAGGTCGCCAGCGAACGGGAGTTTCCGTCTCCTCCCTGGCTTCTCTGCACCTCCCCGGGGAGCCGAGGGCGGGTGTGGACGGGACCGACGTGGAGAGAATTCTGTAGCCCAGACGGGCGGCCCCGGTGGCTTCGTTGGGGACACGCCCAGCTGAAGAGGCAGATCAGGGCGGATGAGGCCGGAGCTCCGGAGTCTCGGGGAATCCTGGTTCGAGCGTAGCTGCTCCTAGGGGAGGCGCGAGGAGGATCAACCTGGACCCCTTCGACAGCCCAGCCTCCTAGGGCCAGCCGTGCGACTCCCTCCGAGCTGAGCTTGCCCGAGGCGCACACAAGAGAGGCAGGAGAGCAACCGGCCGGGGCAGTTCTGGGGTGGGCGGGGAGGCTGCTGTCCTTGGTGCTGAGCCGGCTCCCAGCCCCGGCTCCGAGGGGGAGCCCCGAGCGGCCCTTCCGCTCCCTCGAACTGGGGCGGCGCGCCGAGGTGGCCTCGAGTCGAAACCCCCGCCCGGCTCGAAAAGACGCAGGGCAGCCCCCGGCGCGGCGCTCGGCCCTTCTTCCAGACAAGTAGTCGCCCCCTTGGGGCAGTTCGTCCCGAAGGGTTTCCTCGAAAGAACCTGAGAGGGCGCAGTCCTTGACTGAGGGAGGGAATCTCTCTGTTCAGCCTTGGAAGCCACCAGCCGAAGAAGATGCCTGCCTTCAACAGATTGTTTCCCCTGGCTTCCCTCGTGCTCATCTACTGGGGTAAGTACCAGCACCTCGCCATGCGAGATGCAGATAACGGTGATAATGCTAGCAGTAATGACACTCATTTGTGTCGTTGGTGACAAAAACGAGGTCTAGTTGGCTCTCCTCTGTGCATGTCTGCCAGACATGGAGACCCGTATGGGTTCCATGAGAGCTGGGATTTTAAGATTGGAAAGGTGCCTCCCCACTCCGCTGCCACTGTATTTCCCAACCTCCTTTGGTGATTTCTTCCACGCTTTCTCTGGCTTCCTGATAATTCCATAATTCCAAAGTATTTTTTCCTCTTCCTCTATTGAAAGGAAATTTAGTCAATTTCACTTTCAAAAATCTCACTTGCAGTTACATTCCATTTCTCACTGAGGAGTTAATACACCTGAAAAGCTTGCTGGGTCTTCAGATTCTCCACACACACACACACACACACACACACAACCTGGATGCATGAATTTTGAGAATGAAAATACTTTCATTGTTGATCAATTGCTTAATTTTAATAAGGAATGAGAGAAAAACAAGCGTCAGCCATTTGATGCTGTGTATTAGATAGACAACTGTGAAATGCATCTTTTTTTTTTCATGAACATACGGAATTAAGATGCTTTGATGATTGGGGAGGGGAGCTGAGCTTTTGCCTTCAAACATAAATAGATTCTTGCTCGTCAGCTGTGAGAGACTGAGGTGACCTTCCCCTCTAAATAAGGGAGTCTCACACTTGTAACAGTCAGACTGAGGAGAGTATCAGAAATGGTCTTAAAGGAGGTGTCTTAATGTGCGGGAAAGGAATTAACAATCTGCTTGATAATATCTGAGTATATGATAGAGACAATATTTTACTATGTGTAAATGCATGTTTCAGTGTGTGCATGTGTGCATTAGTGTCTGTCTGAGCATGTTAATATAGACATATAAATGGATTGGTGAGAGTGTGTAGTGTGTGTGTGTGTGTGTGTGTGTGTGTGTGTGTGTGTGTGTGTTTCTGGACATTTCTGCCCTGGTATCTATAATTAGATCTTCAGATTAAATGTAGGTTTCTTCAATTGAAAGATTGCTTTACGTGATCTTAGCTACTTTCCTTCATGAAAGTCAATAAACAGGATAATTAGACACCATGAAAGTAGGCATGTGGGATTTTGCTCCCACGGTTGGCATGAAGCTCATTCTGCCTGTGCAGTGGCAGACATGCTGGTAGGAATTGCCTCTTTGCCTTAATATTACTTTGTCAAGCCTCCAGACTAACTCTAGCTGCCAGCATTATCTGGATTTTGCATGTGACCATAGGCAGTGCCAAGCTTTCTGTTGAACAAAATGCCTGATGAGATAGGCTAGGAAGGCTGAGGAGGAAGAGTAATGTCAGATCCAAGGGCGAACTCACCACCAGTCATTCCCAATAGAGTAGACCAGACCTGGAGATGAAGTGGACATGATAGGTTGCCAGCAATCTTACCTGTCTTGAAGATTAAGGCTGAGGTTTCTTCGGGGAGGTTAAGCCTAGGGACATGAGGCTTAGGAGTGGTTAGTCTGGCTGGATAAAAGAGTAAATCTAAAGTTATAGTTAAGAGTTGAGGTGAGATTCTGCAGAGGCTTTCTTCCTAAACCCTAATCTAAGATTTTGGGGTCCTGCCTAAATTCCAGTGGAAGGGGAGAGCACGCTATAGTTCAAGTATCTTTTGGCTAGGATTTGCACAGCCTGCATTGGAGTCTCAGCTCTGCCACTAGCTTACTATGCATCAACCTTAGAGTACTATCGGGTTCCTCACATATAAAATTGGAAGTTGGCACAGATGCTATCTAACAACCCTTTCAGCTCCACAACTGAATGGTAGGGAAATATTTACAGAATACTGCTAGAATTGACAGAATGCCCATCTCCCCTCAAAAAATATTTGGAAGAAATGTACACATTACACCCACCCTTGCTCACTCTCAGCTTTTTGCAACTTGAACACTGTCTCACCAAACTAAAAAGCTGTGGAAGGCATAGAAGGGTGGTTCAGGATGTCTGGTTGTTAAATGTAAGATAAAAAGCCTTGTTTCACAGATGCAATTTCATTTTATGTGCATATAATTCCAATATTGGAAAGCATTAGCTTAGATGTGTTTCCCCTTCCCAAGTTGTTTTCACGTGATGCTCAATATGAAAGGAAAGCCTTTTTTATTTACTTTCTGCATATATTGAAAAAGTTATTTTTATTTATTTTGTTTCCTTTATCAAAACATATAATAATATAGTTTTCAAAACCTCCACTTGCCTGGTGCTTTACAATATACAAAGCAATTTTCAATCCATTGTTTTTCTTTTTAATTTTATTTATTTTGTGTGTGTGTGAGTCAGAGTCCCATTCTGTTACCCAGGCTAAAGTACAGTGGCACACTCATGGCTACTCAATCTTCTGGGCTCAGACAATCCTTTTGTCTCAGTCTTCCAAGTAACTGGAACCCCAGGCATGCACTACCACACCCAGCTAATTTTTGTATTTATTGTAGAGACGAGGTCTCGCCAATTTGCCCAGGCTGATCTGGAATCCCCGGTCCCAGGTAATCCTCTTGCTTCCACCTTCCAAAGTGCTAGGATTACAGGCATGAACAACCCGACTTCCTTTGCTTTTTTTTGATCTCCATATCTATTCTAGGGGGGAAGGAGTACTATTTCCAGTTTAGAAGTGAGAATATGAGTTCCGAGAGGAGAAAGTACATGCTAGAGAACCCCTTTCTTCCAATATCAGTCTTCCAGTGCTCCTTCTAACACCTCTCATAGACACGTGTTGATATGCACAGTTGCCAAGTGGGTAGGTACCTGGTCTCCCATTTCTCTTTTGAGCCATCTTCCTGCCCCTCCCCCATGCCACCATCTGTTACAGAGCTTCACCCATCCTTCAGCTCCTAGTACCTTTTCTGCTCTTCCTCTCCAATTCTACCCTCCCAGTTGCCCTCTGTGTCGGGAAATGCTTTCCTCTCTTCCTCATGTAGTTCTTTCTGCATCCTATTTCTTCAGGCTCTGCTAGATAGCTGGCTAATCTGATAGATTAAGTCATTTCAGGATGTTAACTTTTTTTGGGGGGGGGGTTGGAATCTCACTCTGTTGCCTAGGCTGGTGGGCCGTGGCATGTTCACAGCCACCGCAGACTCTACCTGCAGGGCTCAGGTGATCCTTCCACCTCAGCCTTCCAAGTAGCTGGAACTACAGGCATGCGCCACCATGCCCAGCTAATTTATTTATTTATTGCAGAGATGAGGGCTTGCCAAGTTGCCAAAGGTGGTCTCGAACCGTGAGCTCAGGCAATCCTCTCATCTTGGCCTCCCAAAGTGCCAGGATTATAGGCGTGAGTCACCGCACCCGGCTAGGATGTTAATATCTTAAAAGACTTTCACTTATCACCCATTTAAAAAAATTATTTACATTTTAATCGAAGCTTTCATTATCTCAGTGCAAAGGAAAGCACTCGAGAGCAAGCTCAGGAAGGTAATTTGGCAATGCCCAAAGAAAAGAAAGATTTGGGGGGGTATCAGAGGAGTTGGTTCAATATATATTACTATGCACCTCATAATAGATTGATGCTACTCCTAAACTAAATATCATCATCATTAACAAGTTGTAGTCTTCCTTCTCGTAAGTTTCTTATCATGAAAATTGAAGAGAAGGCCAAAAGTCAAATGACATGGTCAACATTATTTCAGGAATTTATAATATATAGTCAGTTGAACTCCTGCCATAAATAACAGTCTTTTCTTGAATACCCAGAAGGTTTCATAGAAAGAAAGGCAGTGATGTGCTAGAGACTCAAGGGGTAGAGAAAGAGATTTCACCTCTTTAAGGAAGGAGCAGAAAGTCATACTAGCAAAAGGCAAGAAAACAGTCCTTGGGAAGATTTTGTGGTCATTTTGCAATGCACTCTCTAAGACCACATGAGCAGATTCCTCATGCCTTGAAACTGGACTTTTGGCCAGGAGAAAGGAAACAGTGGGCTTGCTTTATGATGGATTACCTTGGATTACTGTCACCTCAGGGGCAACCTGGAAATGAGAGGGTCTACTCTACATGCTGCCATTTCACACTTACCATCTTGGCTGTGTATATTCTGCCTTTCCTTCTTTAACTATTAATGAACTGACTGTGCTCCTATCTCTGCCACCTTATCTACTTGTTCACTAGAGCACATTACCACTCACCTATTCAAGGATGTTAATCCCACAAATTGTCCTCTTTCAAACCCCACCAGCTCTACTGTCATCTTCACCCAAGAGAAATCATTTTCTAGTCTGATCAGTGCATCAACCTCTTAACTGTTTTCTCTGCTACCCTTGTCCCCATCACATCTTTAGTTTATTCTCAGCATCAGATTATGTGATTTTGTACAAATCAGATCCCATCATTCTTCCACTCAGAACCCTCAGCTGCAGTCATGTCACTCTAAGCAAATGCCAAAGTTCTAATCATGGCCAGCAACACTCACTGAGGTCTGGCTCCACCTGTCTTTCTTACTTCATCCCTTCTGTTTGTTTGGTCACTGTACTTTCCATATTGGGCTCTTTGCTGACTCTGGGACATGGCAAACATGTTCTTTTGGGCCCTTGGGGCTCTTGAGTTGCTATTTGACACACCCTAACATTTGACATTCCTATAGCTTATACCTTCTTTTCCTTTTCTTTCTTTTCCTTCTTTCCTCCCTTCCTTCCTTCTTTCCTTCTCAGAGTCTCACTTTGTTACCCAGGCTGGAGTGCAGTGGCCACTGCACTCACAGCCACCACAGCCTTGACCTGCTGGGTTCAGGTGATCCTTCCACTTCAGCCTTCCAAGTAGCCGAAATTACAGGCAGGCACCACTACACCCGGATAATTTTTTGATTTATTGTAGAGATGAGGTCTCACCAAGTTGCCCAGGCTGATCTCAAACACATAGGGCAGGTAATCCTCTCGCCTTGGCCTCCCAAAGTGCTAGGATTATAGGCATGAGCCACCACACCCGACTTTCTCTTTCTCTCTCTCTCTCTCTCTCTCTC